TGCACCATTCTCTCAGCAGTCCCGTTAGCCTGTGGTCGATATGCCATAGTAGCACGCTGCCGCTGTCCCTGGATCTTATTATACGCCCGGAAGAAATCGGACATGAAGCCGGGTTCCCGATCATGCCGGGCCATCTCATTGGCGCCAAATCGCCGAAATACGCACTCTCCGTACGATTCTGCCACCGTCTGGACCGATCGGGACGAGCTTGCTTTCACGATCACATATCCTGTGAACAGATCGACCCAGATCAATAACTCCGTGTTTCCCTTGTGGGATCTGGGTAGCGACGGTATGTGATCCATCGCAATGATCTGGAACGGGTACGTCGCCTGCAAGTTCCCTGGTGATTCGCTCTGGATCACCGGTTTTCCTTTCCTGTTTCGCAATCCACACACTCTCCCACATATCGCTGAATACTCCGGTATAATCCCCTCCAGTGGAAGTGATCCCTGATCCGCTGGTAGGTTCGCCCCACTCCCTGATGTCCTCCTTCCAACGAGGTGTGACACGTCCGATTGTAGCGTTTTGGGAACTACCAATCTCATCAATCGGTCGCGATCATCCCCCGATCTCGGCGTGGGGGGGCAGTAAAAGAGTGGGTCCTGCTCGTCTACCTCGTAGTCGGCCGCGAGCTTGCCATACGATCTTGCTTCCGCTTGTGTGAGATCTGCGATTGAACCACTCAGACTTCTTCATGCCGGCGATCCAGACTTCTTCCTCTTGGGCCTGCTTGAACCGATCGACCCGGATCTCCCGGATCCGATCCTCTTGCATGACACCCGCAGGTGATCTCGTTCGACCAGCCCGAGTGGTAACCGCAGCAACTCGCACCACTGGATTCTCGGTCTTGGGAATCAAGATTTCGTCTAACCGGTTCAGGGTAACCAGATCCTGGTACCCGTGCATCTCCTGAACCTCGATCCCTTCTTGTCGCTGCAAAGCGGCGTTCGCTAGACTATCGGTACTTCCGTTTCAGTCCCTCTTGACGTGCACCAACTCATGATCACTCCATTTCCTCAGGCGATCGAGAGCCTTCCGCTTCAATAGCGTCCGTCCGGGTGCTTTGCAGTCGATCTCACCCCGTACTTGTCGGATCACCAGGTTGGAATCCCCGCAGACCACCAGACGTCGGCTATCTAAGCTCTCTAGCATGTCGAGTCCCAGGATCAGGCTGTTATACTCGGCTTCGTTCACGATGAGGCTCTCGAGATAGCCTGACTTGGCCTTGACCACCTCCCATCCGGGCAGACTCCACACGATCGCGCTGAACGCGCCCCCACCACGCTTAACTCGAGCGGATCCGTCAAAGCTGATCACCCATAGTTCCTCGTCTCGATCTACAGTGGGTATCGGTGCTTGGATCCGGCGTTTAGGTTTCTTCCGCGAAGCGATTTCGGTCAGAGCACCGTCTATCTTCGCCATCGGCGTGATGCTGGCCGCGATCGCCCTCAGTATTTCGTCCTCGCCGCACTTCGTGATCTCGAGCGTCCACGGGACCAGGAGGGCGGACAATTGTCCTAGGCGATCCTGCAATCCCGTCGACTTGAACAGCCAGGCCAACGTAGAATGTCTCGTCAGGACCCGGACCTCGCGTCCTACTAGCAAATTGTAGTAGAGATCCAAGATCCTCAGCAATGCCAACACCTCCTTCTCAGTCACATTGTAATTCAACTAGTTCGTCTTCAAGGTGCGACTGGCGAACGCCACCGGAAGATAGATCCCGTCGTGTTCTTGCGTCAACGAGGCGGATATCGCCCAATCACTGGCATACACGATAACTACCGGCATTCTCGTCTCGTCGAAATGTCGGAGGATTGGAGTAGTCGCGATCTTGGTTTTCAGGGTGATGAAGGC